CTCAGAAATACACAGGGGCGACAAACAGACTTTCTATACGCAGCATGGCTCGCGTAACAATGGTTTAGGCTTAAAATATTGAAATGTATAAATTACCAAAATACAAAAATATTGGTTTAGTACATAGAAAAGTATCTTAAAAAATAAAACAAAAAAATGTACTTCATGTTAACAATTTTTTGGCTATTTTATACATAACTTCATACATAAATTCATTTCAAACATAAATTCATCATTCAATATTCTTACAGGTTGGGAAAAAAATTCATTGCACTAAGCAAGGTATGAAAATTCTGAGGATATTCATTGTCAGAATTCCGCCTTAATAATGACAAATGGGATAAGAAAGGTTAGGAAAGGAGTGGATGTTTTCGACAAAAGAATTTTGGTTCTCGTAAGTTAATCTTGGACACAGTGCTTCTGATTACGGCCTTGTCTACATCTATCTTTTCCTTGCAGCCGGCATAGTATAAACTGGTATCATAGTGGATGTTGTATGACCCATCAGGATTCTAATCCAAGGTTTACAGAGTTTCCGTTTCTTTCCAAGGTTTACAGAGGTTTACAGAGTTCCCATTTCTTTCCAAGGTCTACAGAGTTCCCATTTCTTTCCAAGGTTTACAGAGCTCTAGTCTCTATCCAGGGTTAACAGAGTTCCCGTCTCTATCCAGGGTTTACAGAGTTCCCATCTCTATCCAGGGTTTACAGAGCTCTAGTCTCTATCCAGGGTTTATAGAGTTCCCGTCTTTATCCAAGGTTTACAGAGTTCCCATCTCTATCCAGGGTTTACAGAGCTCTAGTCTCTATCCAGGGTTTATAGAGTGCCCGTCTCTATCCAGGGTTTACAGAGTTCCCATCTCTATCCAGGGTTTACAGAGCTCTAGTCTCTATCCAGGGTTTATAGAGTTCCTGTCTTTATCCAGGGTTTACAGAGTTCCCATCTCTATCCAGGGTTTACAGAGCTCTAGTCTCTATCCAGGGTTTACAGAGTTCCCATCTCTATCCAGGGTTTACAGAGTTCCCATCTCTATCCAGGGTTTACAGAGTTCCCATCTCTATCCAAGGTTTACAGAGTTCCCATCTCTATCCATGGTTTACAGAGCTCTAGTCTCTATCCAGGGTTTATAGAGTTCCCATCGCTATCCAAGGTTTATAGAGTTCCTGTCTCTATCCAGGGTTTACAGAGTTCCCGTCTCTATCCAGGGTTTATAGAGTTTCTGTCTCCACATTTTTATTGTTTCTGGCAAGAGGGAGGGGGAAGAGAAGCACTATTATTTTCTTTTTTCCCAAGTAGGGTGTACTGCCATGTTATTCCACATAGGATTCTGTTCAGCCACAAGAAAATGGAGAAAGTTGTATATGAACCTGACTGTTCTGAGCTCCCTTGATGCTTACGCATAGAATCAGATTCAATCGAAAGAATTAACGTCTTTCCGACGAGTTCGGATACTTAATAACAGCTAACCAGGCTTGTTATTAAGAAGTATATTTAGAGCTGCCAGTAGCAAAATCTGGATCCAGCTAGGTAAAAAACCTCCATTCTCCAGGTTAATACAGTGTTAAAAGATTAATGCAAGCCTTTAATGTTTCTTGTAGTTCCGTTTATTTCTTCTATTTGAGTGAAGGGGTGTTTGTAGCCAGGGGGGATATAAACCCCTGGCTAAAGTTATTCTAGTTTGCCATTTTCTCTCTTCCAACCTGTATCTCTGAGTACTTTTAAAGAAAGATAGATGCACACTGGAAAAAATACTTTTAATTTGCAGAAACCTTTTTGTTTAAACTCATTCACGTATTTGATGTTTAGATTTTTTCTCTCAATTTTTTCTTTCTTAAAATATGAATTTGAATTTAAGCCACATCATATATATTTCACATGTCAAAGTTTGTATTCTGAAGAATGACAAATTATATAATTCACTTCAACATCATAAATTTCAAAATAAAAAAATTTGCGTACTTTTCCTCTTAGAAATAATACTAGAATGGTTTCACTAACACTATGTGTATTGTGTAATGTGCATATGTATTCTTTCATATTTGCATCAAATTAGCAAGAAAATAAAATTGTACTCCACTCACTCCACCCGTCATGAATTTTATAACAAAGGAATTGAGTCTTTGCCACAAACTTTGGTTTTATAAAACCAATATCTGTAAATCTCAATGTAATAGACCTTACATATTTCAAACTGTGCATTTTGTTAGATTAAAAATCCAAGTTTGAAATATTAAAGGCTACATAGATATAGTGATTAGAAAAATTAAGTTAGGGACAACTCAATTCCTTTACTGCAAGCTATGAACAGTGATGCACTGTAAGAAACTTTAAACGTTTAATGACATTTTTAATTACTTTGAGTGTATCTCTGGAAGATGTCACAAAGGTATAACATTTGTTTTTTTTAATTAGTTCATAATTCATTCTAATTTGGGGGTTTTTCTCCCTCTTGGTTTGAACATTGTTTTGTGATAAACGTCTTATTAAGTTAATATTTTTATTTTGGTGAAATACACTTAAACCCAATCATTTTTCTTATGGGACTGTATAAACGGTATTTTAATTTAAAAGTGACCCTTCATATATATTGTATAGAGTGGCATGTCCGATTTACAACGGTACACTTAAAAGCTTTGGCTGATCAATAATGCGCGAGATATCCATTATGCCCTCTTTTAAAATTCATTATTTTAATTTGTGTTTTCTTAATGATTTTTTTGCTTCTAAAACAATAGATTGACTTCATGAAATGAAGCACTTTACAAGCTAGAAAAACGAAGATATCTTTTGTAACATTAATCAGATTTAGGTTTAAAGGGTACAGTCTTAAATTTGGGATATATGCCCCAATTACAACAAAACAGTCCCAAATCCAGCAGTTCACTTTTGAAGAAAACCAGCTAATAAATATTTATAATTTTCAGATAGAAAGACAAGTATATCTTTTGCTCAGGAGTAGGGCACATCGTGGATCTAGAATGATAAATTGAAACGACGCCGATAGTCTCTTTAACCTTGTCTTCATTGAAAGAAAAGTTAATTGAGTGTAGACCGAATGTTCTTAAAGGGACAGACCGGCTATGTAAGGTAGTTAAACTAAGTGTGCAGTGTTGTGGACAAATTCTTAAGGTTTCATTTGAGACATACAAAACGTTTCCACGATGTATAATCACTGAGTTTGAGCGCAAAGTCGACCTGCAAAATCATGAATTTGGGATGGGTACGTTTTCAGAATCAAAAGAAATTTGTCAATAAATCGAAGTTAAAATTAATTATTTCCTTTTTCATCCTTATATTGAAGTTCTTATTTTCCATGGATTTGTTCGCAGATATCTTCAAATGTCGTCTACTAAAAATCCCATAAAATCTGCAGAAAATCTTTGTGATTAAAGAGAGATTATAGAAACTAATAATTGAATAAGATTACTTATTTTCGATGATAAGAGTTAATTTCTATTTTCTCAACATGTTCCTGAACAACTAATTAGTTTACTGTAATATTTTGTTTATATTTTTTGTTGTAGTTATTTAATAATCTAAAAAAAAAATTCTGAAAACGTATCCACCCAAAAGTACATTTTGAACGTCGACTTTGCGCTCAAACTCAGGGTTTACAGATCTTTAAAAAGTTTAATATGTCTCAAATGAATCCTAAAGAATTTGTCCACAACACTGCATACTCAGTTCAACTACCTTACATAGCCGGTCTGTCCCTTTAAGTTAAAAGTTTCTGTTCCCTTGATAACAGATATTTGCTTCAGCTAGCTTGATATATAATGGAGGAAATTAGGTGAAAATAAACATTTAATCTCACACAATAAAAATGAAAAATAAGAATGGAAAAGCAGTAAAATTGTATGGTATTTGTCGCTTTCTATAAAAAAGATAAATCATACTCCGCTGTCTCTTTAGTAATTGTAAATTGGCGGTACTGTTCAAAGTAGGATTGCAAAGGTTGACCCAGCTCGGATATTTAAATGTACAAATGTTGTTTGAGAATTATCTTAGTTAATTTTTTTATTTAATAATTTTTAGTGGTTGGTGGTTTAAATTTTTTTTGTTAATGAATATACAGTATATACATATCAATCAAGATTGTCATATTTGTTGCTAAAGTTTTAAAGCTTAAAAAGAATTGTTTTTTTTTTAATTTGATAAGCTGGAGAGGTTGCTAAATTGACCACCGGTAAAAGTCCTGAATCACCGTATCAAAGTTAAAGAGTCATGAGGATTTGATTCAAGAATTAGACCGGATATACTACTGGTAGTTCAGTCACCTCTCAAACTCATTTAATTCTTTTTTTGTATAGCTAAAACTTTTCTGAAATGAAAATAATAAACGTTGTTTTATTTAAAACTAAATGAACATCACTATCCATACAGTAAAGGGTTGTTCCATAGCGGCCGGTTAGCATATCTGAAAAAAATCATAAATTTAAATTGCAAACAAAAAGTTTTTTAATTTTAATTTTTTCTGAAAATTACATTTTCTTTTATGTATTTTCTAGAGATAAACTTGCGTAGGCAAGACATCGATTAGATTTGTCTAATTACATTTACAACGAAACAACATTTCTTCTAAAATTTGTACCATTGTGACTTGTGAGTTGCTGCATCGACATTTTATTAAAAGTTTATTTAAAGTTTATTTAAAGATTATTTAAAGTTTATTTAAAGTTTATTTAAAGTTTATTTAAAGTTTAAATGAAATGATTTTTCGTTCTATAGAACATTACTCAGAGAGTATCTTTTACTTATAAACAAGTAACTCTGTTATCAAAATTAAATACTTTACATACAGGGTTGTCAACATAGAACGAGCTGTTAAAGACGATATTAATCTTTAAAAGTTTAAAAATAAAAATAAAAAATCATTTAAAAGATTTTGCTCATAGTTTTTAGATAAATAAAGTTACCTGTCAAACCCGTAGATATTACTACTTAATCTATTAGGATTTCTAAAATATAATAAAATTTTGAAAATTACGGAATTGAGTCTCTCCCACAAACTTTAATTTTTTAACCCTTATAACCACTATAACCCGAAGCAATGGCGTAAACCTTTAATATTTCAAACTTAATAATTTAATCTTATAAAATTTATAGTATGAAATATCTAAGGTCTACAACATTGGGTTGCCAAAATATTGGGATTTGAAATTTAGAGTTTGTTGCAAAGTCTCAATTTCTTCGTCTTTAATTCTGAATTCAACAAGCTTAATGCCTGACTTGAAGAAAAATAATGGAAAATACTTTGGGGACAAAGAATTGAGTCTTTGCCACAAACTCTGATTTTATAATCCTTATATCTTTGGAACACAATGTCGTAAATCTTTGATATTTCAAACTTATATTATTTGATCTAACAGAATTCATAGTTTGAAATATCTAAGGTCTACGACATAGGAATTCAAAGATATAGGATTTAGAAAAGCAGACATTGTGGTAAAGCATAAATTCCTAGATATTTAGATATTTCAGTCTCATGATTCGTTTCGGTACAATATTTTCTTGTACTGGCATGTCCTTTATTCGTACCTAGACTCTTGATTTTGGACTCATAAAACCAGCTAAACATTTTGAAAATGGATGAACTAAGTAATGTATGTCTAGGATCGACTCAAGTTTAATTTGGTACAAGTACACTCTTGTGTAACATATACTTATTTCTGCGTAAAAGGGGTTCTCTTCTTTGTTCAAAATTAAAATTTTTTAAATGTTTTTTTGTATACTCTTTGCCTCAAAACTCAATTAAACTTTTTTTCGCAATTTATTAGTTCCAACCCCCCGTGGGAAAGATTTTGATGTCAAAAAAAGCAGTTGCTGGCGGAAGTTGAACATTTTTAAATGATTTTATCAAGCGGTAAATTTTACTTAACCTGTTAGCTCCAGGAACCAGGGGTATTCCTCCTCTGAAATATTTTGTTAATGGATTTTTCAGATATTCAAGTAAAATATTAGAAGTTTTAAATATTAGTTTCTTATTTGGTTAAATACATCTAATGTTTTTATTGATCTCTTTACTATCAAATGCCCAGGGCTTTAGGCTAAAATGTGCATGGTGTTAAGTAAGAATAAATCCATGTTTTTAACTAAGTTTTTGTTGAATCTTTATTGTTTTTATTCTATTTTTTTTTGGGGGGGGGGGCTTATGACGCCATGCCAAAGAGTAAAAATAAAAATACTAATCCAAATTACATCAAAAAAAAAATATTCAAAAATTTAAATATTTGCAGTCTTCAGGGCTAGGATGAGTTATCATCAAAATTGCGTTAAACATCATGATTATTAAGAAAAAATTGGTTTTCAGATTTTTACATAAAGCTTTTTACTTGCCCCATTTTGGGAAACTCTAATTTTGACCTGTTAGGGTTTGAAAAGTCTGGAAATGAATTGCTCCCTGATGGTCTAGCATCACTATACAGCACGTTATTTCAAGATCGTTAATCATTCATATTCTTAAATGTATTTAATAATTAGATAATAAATACGTTTATTTCTTAAACACGTATGGAAAGAGGGGGGGGGGTTCAAAATAAAATTATAAATTTTCAATTTTTCTTGAGTTTAAACAAAGTATAATTGTTTTTTAATTTTGCAAAATTGTTTCACCGAACTTTGCAAATAAAGTTGCAGTTGGATTTCTGTAAATTAGCAATATTTCGTACATTCAAAGAAAATAATCATATTGTGTTCAAGAATTGTACTACCATTTGTCATATTTTAAAAAAATCACAGGATTTCGGTGGCGGGGTTGCAATTTTACAACCCCACCCACCCCCAGCGTTTTTTATATTTCTAGATTATTTTAAAGTTTGAAAAAAGTGTATAAAAATGATTAAAGTTCTGCCTAGTTGGAACTACGGGAAATCTAGTAGATACAGTTGTTGTTCTAGTACTGCTGTGGAAAGTATCATTATTATCTTATGAAAATGATTAAAGTTCTCTCTGGTTGGAACTACAGGATATCTAGTCTAGTACTACTGTGAAAAGTATCATTATTATTTTATGAAAATGATTAAAGTTCTCTCTGGTTGGAACTACAGGATATCTAGTGGATACAGTTGTTGTTCTAGTACTACTGTGAAAAGTATCATTATTATTTTATGAAAATGATTAAAGTTCTCTCTGGTTGGAACTACAGGATATCTAGTAGATACAGTTGTTGTTCTAGTACTACTGTGGAAAGTATCATTATTATTTTTATTTTCAAAACAAACAAAATAACTAAAGAGGGCGTAACACGAAATGCATGCGTAGAATAATAATAAGGGGCTGTATGCGTCATTTCAAATGACCCAATATACAAAGATGACAATACCCGATTCACAACGGTACCCTTTAAAAGTGGTTGGTTTCTCTACAAAAGTGATTTGCAGAAGTAAATATTTCCATTTACTGATAGCGCCGATTAAAGGATTCATAACTCTGATTGGATAATGAGATAGATAGAAAGATAGATGCTACCGCCAAACTATTTCTATTGGTTCAGAATAGATAACAAACACATGACTGAACCTTGATTGGATCAGGCGCTAATGGACTCGGCATACAGGAATGTACTGCAGCAAAGCAAGAATTATAAGAATTAAGCACATTTACAACAAAAAAACGGCAATATCTTCCACGTTATTGTGTAGATAAAGGTTTCAAAGGTACTGTTGTTTCTCTGAAACTTTGAAATTACGCTCGCAGACCCATCCAGCATCCTTTCAAGTGGTGTTCGTAAAAGAAGGAACATTGGCAAGCTTTAAAAATTCATTGTTGACAGCCAATTGACAGCATTATAAAAATAATTCATGTGAAGAAGCTATTGACGTTTTTTATTTCCTTTGTTTTAAGTAAAGAGAAAAGAAGTTCTCAACAGTACAGATAGCAGAACTACTGTTCTAGTAACTAGTGGGACTATAGGAGTATACACATAAAGAAGTAGTTCAACTACCATTACTAATTTAACTACCTTATCTCTAATTCATTCTGACCTCAGATTAAAAAAAATTGAAACTTAAAAAAATTAAATTTATTTTAAACATGAGACTTCCCTGGTACTCTGAGATAAATATTCTGCAAGGTATTTTATTATTGCACTTTTCAACTGAAACAAAACAGAAAGTAAAATACGCATGAAGAGGGCTGGACATGTTCTTCATTTTAGTAACGTTCGTTAAAGGGACTGTAAAGGAAAAATGAAAGGGGGTATAGAATGAAACCTCCTGTACCCTCCCTTACCCTCCTTTACCCTCCTGTACCCTCCTGTACCCTGAGAATCTCAGGTTTTAAACGATACCTATGAGACAACTATCTATCGATGTTCCTGGGTCGAGAAATTGACATAAAACTGTCAAAATTATGCGAAAAGTAAATATGCCAGATTTTGTATAAACGTTGTAGTATTAAACAGATGTAATAAAAAAGCAAAATAAAAATTAAATAATTTTAACAGGAGCAAACCTCAGATTTTCAGGTTGCTGTGAGATAAAGTCGTTTTCAGATTGGTTGCGTAATTGTTGAATACGATCTGTTTAACTACAACGTTTATACAAAATCTGGCATATGCCCGTTTTGGTATAATTTTGACACAGTTTTATGTCAATTTCTCGAGACAGAAACATCAGATAGATGTCTTATGTATCAATCATCTCCTGAGATTTCCAGGTCTTATCCTATACCCCCTTTCATTTTTCCTTTACAGTCCCTTTAACGAGGACCTTGAGCTTAGTCATTCATTCGAAATTCCCCCCGAGCTGAAATCTTTAGAATGGTGGATATCGAAATCAATGCTTGATTCTCTCTTTTTGCCAATCTCAAGACTAATTTACTCTTTACAAAGAATAATTTCTGAAGAATAGAAATGCGCATTTAAACTTTTGAAAAACCGGTTATTATTTTTCTTGCATTTGTGGTGTCATATCAATTGGACTAATGATCAATTGAACGAACGTAAGTTTTGGATTAATGTTTATTAAGACCAACGTTCAAAAGGACTTAGTCCTTAAATGTAATAAAATATGTTTTTTTTATATAAAGTTCATATTAATATGATTAAATTCAAAATTGTTTAAATGCTCTAAAAGCCGGCTTGTGAACAGCTGACTTAGTTTAATCGTATATTTATAGTCCAATCGATTTGCACCGTATCTGTATTTGTAATTAAACGTATCTATGTTACATCTAGCAGGAAATGTGGCTAGTATTTATCTAGGGAAATGTGAAAGGATTAAAAGGATTAAAAAGAAAATTAAACGTTTCCACAATGGATATTCAGATTAAGCGATCAGAATTAAGGGTATCAAATTCGAAAGTTTTCAACTCCGTTCCAAATAAAAAAAAAAATTCTATGAAAATTAATAATCCTAATTTTCAACCTTTTTAAGCACTTCATTTTTCGTTTCACCCAAAAACCTGTACTTTTCTATTCTTATAAAAGAGAAAAGAATTTATAAGCATTAAAGATAAAACATAAACGAATTTTTTACCTCATTACTTAGTGTGACCCCAGCTTGCACGTTAGTAAAGGCATGGTTACTTTCAGTAGCTCCTAATTATCAGATTTGGTACAAAGATACCATAGTTATGAAAGGGATTGTATACGTAATTTCAAATGATCCTCCATTTAAAAATTGGCATATCCAGTACACAACGGTACTTAACCCACAGCTTTGTATTAACAAGTATCCATGTTTTCAACTTAATTATTTCACTTGTGGTTTCTCTGTAAAATGACTTGCGCAGTTCTGCTAAAGAGAAACAACGGATGATCTACTCAGAAGTAATGACTTTTTAATCTGTTAAAACAAAGAAAGCTTTTAATATTGATCTAAAGTTAATCGGGCAATAGAGAGCCACTTCAAATTAAAACTGCAGTCCCTTCAAATCATGAGAAAAGTTTCTAAAAGTTTCTCTACCTTTGGATGTTGTTGTTGTTGATGTTGTTGAAGTTGTTGAAGATGAAGAAACTGTTGAATCTGGTGTTGAAGCTGATGTTGAAACAGATGTTGTTGTTGATGTTGATGATGTTGTTGATAATGTTGTAGATGTTGATGATGAGCTTGTCGCTCTTGTAGTTGTAGAGGTTGAGCTGGAAGATATTTGAATAGGTAGGGTTACATCTCCAGTGTTGGCAGTGTCTAATGTTTAAAAACTAAAGTCAATGCATGGCTTCAATACAGTATCAGAACTAATTTTTTTGCCCAAAGACATAATTGTTTTCTGAATTAGCTTGCAGTTAAAAGGGAGTGTCTGGCTAGACATGGTAGTCGAGCTGAGAGTGCATTATTGTAGAGACATTTTGATAATCATTTGAGACCCATAAGACGTTTGTACACAATGTATGATTGCAAAGTGAGAGCGCAAAATCGATCTTTATATTCCTTCTGCAGGCGCTTGCCCCCAGGCAGGTTGAGGTGTGAGTCTCCTCTGCGAGCAGGCGTCCACAATCTACTAGGTAGACATGTCTAGTCGGACAGTCCCTTTAAACCAAAGGGTGATAGATACTTCACAAGTTCACAAAAAGTTCAAAATTACTTTAGAGTAAGGTTTAAAATGTGTTTAGTATTCCAAAACTAAATTGATCTGGTTTATTTGCAAGCTGTTTTTTTTTCTTCTCGCCCATGCACTCAAAAAGTGAATTTTTAGTATTTGTCATTCAGGAAATTACAAAATCACATTTAAGCAGCTCACACGGGGAAAAAAATTCTTTTTGAGGCTTATGCCTAATTTCATGCAACTTGCTTTAGTTAAGATTATTATAGAAATGGTATTAATTATACATTTGAAAATACAATTCAGGGAACTTCACCTGTTCCTGTTGAACCAGTTTCTGTTGTGTCTGTTGTAGCTAAAACATGAAAAAATGGTTAAAATTTGTCAAAAAACTCAAATTATTTTACCTTTAGAACAGGCTACAACAATATTCCTAAAAAATCATGTCCCTCTCTTTAAATGTAATTTTGTCCATTCTATGTTAGAAATGTTTTCTCAAATCTTTGAAAATCCTTCCCCTGCCTTTTTGTGGAGATTAATTAAAAAAAATTACCCCTGCCCCTGAGAATAATAATGTCTATAGCCCCTAAAAGTAAAGAATATACCCCCTGAAATACCTGTTGATGTTGTATCATCTGTCTGCGCAAATACCCCACTGCTGACAATCAAAATTAAAAACCAAGCCTTCATTTTTCTCTGAAATTTATGAGTTTGAACTTTAAACAGAGAAATTCAGGGGGGTATATTCTTTTTAGTTTTGAAATTGACCCTACCCCTGAATGTGCACATTTCCCTGTTTATCTTTTAAATCAAATTGGATAAAATTCACAGCTGACATTTTTTCATGAATTCCTTGTGGTGAATCTGTTGATGAAGTAGAAAACAATGTTGAAGCTGAAGTCACAAATGTTGAGTCAGTTGAAAAACCTGTTGATTCTGGAGTCACAAATGTTGAGTCTGAAGTCACTTCTGTTGAGTCTGAATTCCCAAGTGTTGAGTCTGAACTCAAAACTGTTGATTCTGGAGTCACAAATGTTGAGTCTGAAGTCACTTCTGTTGCGTCTGAATTCCCAAGTGTTGAGTCTGAACTCAAAACTGTTGATTCTGGAGTCACAAATGTTGAGTCTGAAGTCACTTCTGTTGCGTCTGAATTCCCAAGTGTTGAGTCTGAACTCAAAACTGTTGATTCTGAAGTCATAAATGTTGAGTCTGATGTCAAACTTGTTAAATTGGATGAGCCAAGGGTTGAGTCCGTTGGAACAAAAGTGGAATTCGTTGTTGTAAATGTTGATTCTCTTGGCTCCATTGTCGAATCTGTTAAAAGCAATGTTGAATCACTAGGAGGAACTATTGATGAACCAGTGGATAAAAGTGTTGAATCAGGAGATTCAAATGTTGAATCACTTGGAACTACTGTTGATCCTGATGATACTGTTGATAGTACTGTTGAATAACTAGAAATAACTGTTGATAGAATTGTTGTAAATGTTGAAACAATAGATACTGTTGATAAATCGGTTGATATTGTTGGCCCTATTGATGCAAATGTTGAGTCTCTGGAGTCAGTCGTGACACTTAGAGAAATAGTTGCTAGAGTCGTTTTTGTTTCGGAACTTGAAGAAGAAGAATTTATAAAACTATTTGTCGTAGCAATTGAACCAGTATTTGCAGATGTTGGTTTAGATGCTAATACAGTAGAATCTGATGATGTAATATTTGAAATACTTGTAGATTCAGATGAATTAATTGTAGAGACAAATGGTAAAATTGTAGAATCAGATGAGGAAATTGTATATTCAGATGATAAAATTGTAGAACCAGATGATAAAATTGTAGAACCAGATGATAGAATTGTAGAACCAGATGATAGAATTGTAGAATCAGATGAGGAAATTGTAGAATCAGATGATAGAATTGTAGAACCAGATGATAAAATTGTAGAATCAGACGATCTAATTGTGGAACCAGATGATAGAATTGTAGAATCAGATGATAAAATTGTAGAATCAGATGATAGAATTGTAGAATCAGATGATAAAATTGTAGAATCAGATGATCTAATTGTGGAACCAGATGATGAAATTGTAGAATCAAAAGTTGAGTCTGACAATGTAGAATCAGAAGAAAAAGTTGATGTTTCTGTTGTAGTTTCAACTGTAGTAGTAGTTGTTGTAGTTGATTTTGTAGTTTTTCTGGTTGTTGCTGTAGCTTTCTGACGTAATAGGTTTGTAGCATTTGATCCTGGCGTTAAAACCAGTTCTGACAATTTGTTTGTTGCTAAGGAATACTTTTGCTTCATTTCAGTAGCTTCCACAGCTACATGCGTTCTCACAAGTGCGGTGGAGGGATTTTCTGCAACGTGGATTGTATTAGGAGATGTGAGTGAAAATACAGGTAGAAAAACATCTTTTTTCCTTGAGAGGCCATGTTGAGAGATGTTTTTAATTGGAGTATTTGTATGGTAAGGAGAACATAAAACTGCAATATTATTATTGTTACCACAAAAATATATTCTTGAACAATTGTTCATATAAGTATATATGACCCTCTACTCAAATATACTTGCCAAATTCACACTTCATGGTAACACCTTTTTTCTGAGTAACAATGAGAAAGATATTGTCGTTTTTCTATCTTAATAATTCTACTTTTTAAGTCCTTGTCTTTCCAGCAAAGTTCTTGCTTCAATTTTACAGAGAAATCGTAATGTCAATTTCCAGAAAGCAAAATATGGATAAGTTTAATTGCTCAGACATAGATTTATAGAGTACAGTTGTGAATCAAGCAGGTATAACTCAAAAACAGGGTCGACACTTGGATTATGTTAAAAATCCGTTTGAGAATTCATTTTTTGTATGAGTTTTCTCTGGTCGTTTTTTGTTTAAAGGGAATGACCGACTATTCAAGGTAAATTACGGCTCAGTTTCATTTGCCATAATACTTTTGCCATAAATACTTTTGCCATAATTACATTTGCCATAAGTAACACTTGCCATAAATTACACTTGCCATAAGTTACACTTGCCATAATGGTTACACTTGCCATAATTACACTTGCTATAATTACACTTGCCATAATTAAAATTTGGTTAGAATTAACAAACATATAGATATATATTTTTTAATTACAAATTAAATACAAATTACAATCTAATTCAAAGACAGTTCGAATTCGGGGTCGAATTGTAACTTAGCACATTTTAGCCGAACATTTCCAATAATTTACTTCTGTAGACAAGGCATTGTCTACATAGGTGTAGTTGTTGTTGTCTCGAACTATTGGTTTACCCTTACTTGTGGTCTCAACGGTCCTCCATTGTGAGGAAATATGGAGCTGAACTTGAGTCAACTAGTCTGCTAAAACCAATGAGAAAACTAAAGTTGGGAATTTTCATGGTAAAATTTCCCGCATTTGCAATAAAAAAAGAGAGATTTATATCTTTTTAAAAATTAGAAAATTATGACAAAAGTAATTATGGCAAGTGTAACCATTATGGCAAGTGTAACTTATGGCAAGTGTGACTTATGGCAAGCGTAACTTATGGCAAGTGTTACTTATGGCAAAGATATTATGGCAAGTGTAATTATGGCAAATGAAACTGAGCCGTTGAACTGAGTATGCAGTGTTGTGGAAAACTTCTTTCGGATTCATTTCAGACATATTAAACTTTTTAAAGATCTGTAAATCCTGAGTTTGAGTGCAAATTCGACGTTCAAAACTTCTACTTTGGAGGTGGATACGTGAATCTGAAAGAAGTTTTCCACAACACTGCATACTCAGTTCAACTACCTTACATAGCCGGTCACTCCCTTTAAACTGGTTTGAATTTTGTAAATTGTTAATCTATTATTAGATTATTAAACCAATCTTAAACAGGGTGTCCCACAAAACATGAAAGACAACTTAAAAAATCGTCTTTGATCTTTGATTGAAAGCTTATGACAAAGTGTGTATCAAACAAGGTTAAACGACTTCTACGAACTTCATAGTATGGTTTATAACACCTACCTTTAAAATTACTAAATCAATGAAAGAGCAGATAATTTTGAATTTTTATTTTTTATCAAATAAACGTTAAAATGACTGAACCGATCGATCGGGCCCAAACTATTGAGGCACCTAACATGACCCCAGGGAAGGTTTTTGGATGCTCATTACAAAAGTTTGTGTCCAACAAATTTGAATTTTCGTAAAATTGTGCAAGCCTAGTACTTGTAAATCTAGGTTGCCACAAATTAAGTCAAATATCAAAGCGACATTTAAGGCGTCTTTCAACTGCCATATGGTTGGTGTTACACACAGACCCTGTATGGAATGAACCACCTTTTCGTTTATGATACCTTCCATTAACGGAAGAGAATCATTATTTAAATCCATTTTTCGATTAAAATCGTTTTAAACTATTGCCTGCATTGCATGAAAAGCATACAAGAACAAGCCATGAAATCCAATTCTAAAAAGAAATAATAATAATTTCAGAAATAATAGTTTTAAGAAATGAATGGAGCCAAAAAGAATATAAAAATAAAAATGTTTAGTAAAATAATCTTTCTAAAAATTTTCTAATTACTATATTTTTGCAGCCTGACACTTAAACCTTTGATATTATAATATTTTATTCATTTCATTTCACAGAATTCTTAGTTTAAAATATCTAAGGTCATACAACTTTGTGTTGCAAAGATATTGGTAAAGTCTGACTTAATCTATATGTTTCTCACATTTGTGATATATATATTATACCTGCATTACTTAACTTTGACAATCTTTTATACTCTTTTTTCTCATCGTTACTTGATTTTTTGTAATCTTATTAACTTAATTGCCATATTTTCATAGCTTTGATTATTCTGAAAGTTACGGAAAAAATTGAAAATTAAAAAATATTTAAAACAGAAAATCTATATTATCGAAATGTCCAAATAAACCTAGATTATACCTCTATACATTTTTATCTATTTAATGATTTAAATAATTTCTTTTCTTTTATTTTTAAAACAAAAACAGGATTAACACACTTTGAAAATGTTAGAGCTAGGGGTGTTTATGATAAAAGTGTCAAATTAAAAAAGTACATTTTTAACCAGACATTTAATGCCTTTGATCCAATAAATAGTTATATACTGAGGTTATATACAGGAAATAACTACTTTATAAATTATACAATATATGAATACAACTCATTAATTTTCAGTACTGCGAACCAATATGTGCACACTCATAGACCAAAATCGAGCAGTATTTGACAATTACTCCTTTTAAGCTAAAGCTAGAAAGTGCGTCGTAGATGTATACTGTATAGACCTACAAAAAGTAAAAGTGACAGCTCAAGAATGTATACTGGATAGGCCTACAAAAAAGTAAAAGTGAGTTAAAAAACAAAATCCAAGCCGTTGCAACGGTTTAAGTCGAGGCTTAAAACTTAATGAATAACTTTCAAAGATGTTTAGATTTGGGTCTTAAATTCCGGGAAATTATATATTTCACTGAAAAAGAAAAACAAAAAATAACAAAATTACTTTTTTTCTAATCCTGTCCATGTGTACTTAACTCTATGAACATAAACCAGGAAAACCTGGACAAGGGAAAAATTAGATTTCATGATTAAAAGAACTTTATTTTAAACTCAAGAGGAATTACAAGCAAATATTGTTATCACACAGTAAAGGAGAAAGACAAAGTACTGGTGCAACTTTGTAACCTCTTATCACCTCTAGTTTTAGTTTTATTCAAAAGTTTCAGAGCAGCAAAGATTTCAATCTTACGTTATTAGTTTGACGTGATTAAAGGGGCTGTTACCTAAGTTATTCAGGCTCCTCTGTGTTATCGTAGTTTTCAAATTGGTTGCGTATTTTCTGAAAATGATCTGTTTAAAACTTAGATTATTACACTAAATCCATAGAGAAATAGAATATAGTGTGACTTATGGCAAGTGTAACTTATGGCAAGTGTTACTTATGGCAAAGATAAGATTCTTTAAATTCCCCTCTAATATATATTCTATTTTCTATCTATTCTATTATCTTATATATATGAAATTTGGTATAACTTTGATGCAGTTTTATATCAATTCTCGAGACAGAAACATCAGATAGAACTCTTATAGGTCTCGATCAGGTTTCAGCCTTTACCCCATTTCATTTTTCCTTAACGGTCCCTTTAAGAACTCGGCTTTAGCAAGAAAACAATTTTACAAGCTTGCATGGTTTCAAACTGAATTCAGTGGACTCTATTTCCGACATGTTTTTGCTCGCAGGATTTTCAAATTCCCAGAAGCTAAAAATTGTTCAAATCCAGCAACTGGAGTGGGGGGGGGGGGGGGGTTAACCGAAAAAAGGTGTAAACAAAGGTTTAGTTTCCTTAAGCTATTGCGAAGATTTTAAGAAAACAATAGAAATGTAAAAAAACATCAGAAGAGTTGAAACTGAATTTTGCCAACAAAACATCCAGAGCGTGGTTTGAAACTTTTAATTTAAAAAAAGGTTGTACACAATTTATCATATTTGGAGATGAAACTTAGTGATTTTTTCTCTCCAAAACTTCACAAAGCAGGATTCTTAGTTGCTATACATGTCCTAACTTAAGTAACTCAAAGTGAGTGTTCGCTAATTCGAAAATTAAGTTAGCCTATACCCCCTTTCATTTTTCGCAAACACACCCTTTATAACAATCCCATAGAAGACGGTAAATATTTTTTGATTTTATAAAAATTTATTTACAAATAATGTAAACATAGTTTGTTAAAGATGAAGAAATATTAGTTTTATGTTCGAGTTTACAACTAAAAGAAAAGGTTTTACCAACCTGTCCTAAACAAATATATGATTTTAAAATAATGAAAACATGAATTTTTCCCAAGCACTTCTGTAAATACATTATATTCTCACTTTTTTAAATTGGGTTAGAAATGATGAATTTTAAATACGATAATTAAAGTATTAGTGTGCATACATTTATGAATTTGTTACAGGAAGATAAAATAATTATGATACTCGAAGGACATTTCCACGGCAGTGGGGAATTATAAAAAATATATTTTTTTTAGAGTACTGTTAAATGCGAATACATAAGTTTAAAATAATTCGTAATTAGTCCGTACTCCGTATACAACTAGAATTAAAGATAGGTACGTTCGCCTTTTTCATTTCGTTCGTTCAGTAAAAAACGATTTTTTGTCAAAATCTTTTGAATTTGATATTAAAAATTCGTTCGTTCAGAAGAAAACTACCGTTTTTTCAAGTTCGTTAGAACAACTTCTATCGTTAGTTTTTACGTTCTTTTTAAAAAATGATCTAATCGATCCAAGCCGTTCGTCTATCGTTTTTTTCTCTGAACGATACGATCATTCTCTAGAAACTTCGTTCGTTTTCAAAAATTTTGCTTTATATAGTCTGTATGTGTACCTTGCTCTAGCTATTAAAAGTCGGCTTGGTGCTTGAAATTAACCGGAGTTTACTTTGGTACATACGCAATACGGTATTTGTACAATTTTTACTGTCAGAAAGCGAAAATGTCTGGGCAAGAAAAATCCACAAAAACCTTACAAACAGTCGACAAAATTGAAAGTTTCTCAGACCAAATTCGCGAGACTTCTTAGTTGACGAAGTTTGATGAGCTTGGCGTCTAAAATGTTGCTGCATACAAAGTTGCAAAGCAAGATTGGATAAATAGCAGAGAGGCATTCTGAATCTATGTGTTAAGCCAAAATATTTATTAACTTTGCCTTGGTGAGAAAGCTAATTGATTCTAACATATCATCTGATCGACATTAACTGGTCAGAAAATTGAACCGGTATAAATATTAAATATAGTGAACTCTGATGGTATAATTGGATGAAAAAGAATCAATACATAACAATAAACATCTCTGAGGGTGAACAATGTTTAATATGGATAAACGTATAAATCCACCACTCTAGAAACCAAGAAACTAAAAAGGA